CACGATAAGCAAAGAAGAAACAAGCTCTCTGAACTGGTCTCTTTCCTCTCTCTCTCTCTCTCTCTCTCTCTCTCTCTCTCTCTCACTCTCACACACACAGACACACACACACACACACACACATAGACACACACACACACACACACCCAGCATTACCATGGCTGCGCTCCTCCTCCTGCGGCCGCTCCCCTCTGGCTGCGTCGCTGGCTGCGCTCTGCGTCGGGACCCGGGGCCCAGGGCTCGGTCTCCTCATGCGCTCCCCAGCCCTCCCCACGGGCTGCCGGCCGCCTGCTCCCGACCTCGCCTGCAGGAGGAGCAGCAGGAGGAAACATGAGCGGCTGACATGCAGAGGATCTCAACACGCGGTGTGGGACGTATTACCCTAACACTCCACCCCCCCGCGAGGCAGATAAACAGGCGGCGCGGCCAAGCGCCCGGGCCCTTATCGGTGCCGTGTGACCTGGGCGGAGGCACAGCTGGGAGGTACCCATGCCGGCGGACGCAGAGCCTCGTAAATACTCCCCCCAAGATGAGGTTGACTTGAACGCCAGAAAGTGATCCATCAGCATGCCGGTGGCTGTGGAGGTGCTGAAACATGTGGGGGGCAGGCTGGAGGCGAGGGGGGGCTACAACAACATGTTAACCTCTGCACAACATGCTGACCGCCACATACGATCACCACGCCCCCGTGTGTCACCCCGACAGAAAGCCCCCCCAGGGGACCTGGATCCTCATGACCTCACCCGCTAAACAGAAAGCCACTACTGCAGCTTAATGACAAAGGCCAACTGACTGGTCACTGCAAAAGCCACTGATTAAGTTTGTGAGCAAAATATTGCTAAAGTGGTTTTCTGTCTTACTCTGTAAAAAAGATATCTGTGTCCAAGAAAAAAAAAACAGAGTATTGACAATGGATGGTCTGATCCATCTGCTGCTGACTGCCAGGACTGATAAACTGGTAGCAGCACTTGACATCTGAAAAATCCAAACAATGGGACCCACATCCAACATCCTAATGCAGAAATTACACCGAATTCCACCAGCTTGGCTTAACAGCCGATTCCCCGAAAATGAATGAATGCTTTCCACAGCTGAGAGTGAACAAGCAGAGCTGTGCAAATACAGAATACGTCACATGCCCAAGGCTTATCCAGCTGCTCTGTACTTTGCCATTAAAACACCCCTGACTCTTGCACAGGTCTTAGTCTTCCCACGACATACCGTCGCTGCTGCAACCATTCGCTCATCATACGCAGAGGTGTAGCCAGCAGCCTATCACGGGAAGTACAGGGTAATAGGCAGGGGGACACCCTGGATTGGACAGCCGTCTGCTGCAGGCCGCATACACACACAATGCACAGCTTGGAGACAAGTCGCTAAACATTTTTGGATTGAGTTAATAAACCAGTGTCTCCAGAGAGAACCCACGCATCCTCTTGGAAGACATGGCAGCTTGGGGCATGAATCCGACCCGCAGCCAATAATCCCACCCATGGGCCCCTGGTGCCACACAACACACAATACAGCAGCATAGAGTCATAATAATCATATCATTATTATTATTGTTGCTGTTAATAATAAGAGGAAGAAGAATAAGAACAATAACAGTAATAGTAAAAGACAGCAGAGGACAGTACCATACACAAGCACCTGCCACAAATTACACCTCTAACGACTGAACCCCACATCTGCAGTTATTTTTGGCCAGGAGCAGAGGGGGTTAGAGCGGCCCAGATCAGCACAGAGCCCCCGACTGGGGAAAGGAGAGCAGCAGCAAGGAGGAGGAGGGGAGGGAACCGCAGGACGGCACAGCACAAGCGGCCCCTTTCAGCTGGCAAGCCGCAGCTCTCCAGAACCAGTCAGCTAACCAGTCAGCACTGCCCAGCTACGTTCCACTGGTTTGCTTTCAACCAAGACATTGTGTGTTACTAGGATGAGTTCAGTTACATGCTGAACACATTGGATAGATTCAGTCAATTTCTTGATCATAATATTATACACCAATTCAAACCTGAGAATACTGCACAATACATTCATATTTACATTACAAAAATATTTACGAAAGGTGCCAGCATAATTAAATTATGCACAAATAATATCAACCACAAAACACACTGCCCTGATAGATCAGCAGCCCTTTCCTGCCTTAGAGTGAGCCAAACACGCTGTAATTTAGCCAGACAGACACCCCACCCCCATACGCTTACACAGACCCTTGGTGAAATCAGAGGTGACCTTTGACCCCAAACCACATGCTTGGGCGTGCATTTCAGTATTCCGCGTTTCCCTGTATTGCCCTGACGGCTCGCGTCGCTGCCGAGCCGGGGCTGGTCCAATCCGGCTCCGTGTTTGTTTGCCGTTCGCAGATAAGCCCCCGCGTAACTGAGCACAGTTCAAACAAGCTCTTCAGCTTCCTTTCACACGCCCCTGCCGCATCCGGCAGCTGATTCAACCAGGAAATGTCGTCTGCCTCGATCCCGTGCTGTGTGGGACACGGCAGCCATGATGCAGAGCTGACCCAAACCGTTCCACGGCTGTTATCTCCATCAGATCTGTACGATCACACAGAGGCAGAGTCCTGCTAGCCTTCACCGAGGGTCACTTCCACAAAACCCCATCAACTTCTCCCTCGCTAATCACCCGTGGATCATTCTGTCATGGCGACACCATGAGCATTTCCCCCCTGCATCTCGCCTGACCTGCAGTGAGACCTTTCCGCTTTTTCATATCCCATCAAGGGCAGAGTTGTTGGCAAGATGGATAGAATTTGTCCCAAAGAAATTCCCTACCCCTTCTCAGGAGTCACATTCCTGTGGCATCTTCATACCCTGATGTTTTTACCACAAAACATGTATTCTAGGGCAATCCCAAGTAAATGTTAATGGGAAAGCCGGAGGCCGCTGGCAAGGCGGCTCTGCCGTGATGGGGCCGGCGCTCCCATCGGCACCTCAAACACCCCCCCCCCCACACACGCAGTTACACACCCGGGCCTTTCCGTGACGGAAACATGACGGCAAAGAGCAGCTGCGGCGGGCGCTGAATCCCCACTCAGGGCATCGCCGCCGTGTGCGCCGACTGTCAGAGCACAATACGGGACCTAATTGGAGTTCAGCTGTACTGAAATCTCTGAAGCGTTAAAAACAAGCTAAATAAAGCTGATTACCTTAGTCAGTAAACCGATATTTTGCACCGGTGGGGACAGCGATCTGCATAATACAGGCAACTGTTGTTGACTTTCCACAGCAAAGATGTCCAGTAATTTCTGGAAAATTGAAGACACAATATCCACAGAATGACCCTAAGAAACCAATGTAATTTCAGGATGTGTAACAAATTTCAATCGTGAATCAAGTTTTAGTGAAATCTAACTTCTGGGTTCTTTGTCTTTCCATCCGCAGTATTTGTTCTATAATGCGACACATTTTCAGACGTGGAGACATAACAGAGTTTGGCTCTAACTTGGCATGCGAAAAACGATGCCTAATAATATCCATAACCACCTACAGCTACAGCTCTTAGAGAGGCGCATTTAAAAATGCGGCATTTCCCATTACATTACTGACTACGGATGCATTTTCATAGTACATGTTCATTTTCTGCACACATCGACACACATGCATATATTTAGTTTTGCAGAAACCCCTTTGGTGTCGATCTCGATTCGGTGCCGACCTGCTGAAGGTCCTGTCCTCCACCGCGCCCCTGGGCCCTCTGACACAAATCTCCCAAGGTGGATGTGTTGCGGTGTTGCTGTGCTGCATTTTGGGGACCAGTCACCATCCATCCAGTGGCTCAGCCAGGGACATGCTAGCTTACTGGACGAGAGCCTTGCCCTCAGAATTTAATTTTCACACCACTTTCTGAGGGCCCTTGTAAGACCCTCTTCAATTTCGCTAACGTAAGTCTGTTCTTGTAAAGGTACGGAATGACTTTACACACTCCTTTCAGCTGGGGGATGCAATATCTGCTTAAAACATCTTAATGTTAACATGTTAATGGAGCAGACAGGGCCGGTATTATCGGCGTAATAAAGCTGCTCGTTTGCGTCTGAATGTGCTCTTGCCGCTCAGGTCTCCCTCTCCCACCCTGATTTAACAAGCGGTATTCGGCTCACTGGCCTGCCTCCGGGCGAGACCTGCCCAGCCTCTCATTAGCCTGAACGCCAGCAGTACAGAGCAGAAACAGGCTGGGTTTAAGAAAAACAAACCCACCCTCCCTTCTGCATTCATCCTGCGTCCCACCGAGAGAGAGAGAGAGAAAGGAGCACCCAAATTTACAGCGTACGGCACTTAATGTGCCCAGATCCCGAGCTACAAGCCCCCGCTGTTAGACCTGAATGGCTCCAGTGACGCCTCGGCGCCGCAGACGTGCAGATGGTCTTAATGGCCCTTCTGTCCGTGGATGGGGGCTATGAGCTCGCCGGGAACCTGCAACACCGGTTAGGGTGGCAGGCCGGCAAACGGGCAGCTGGCCTGTTTACTCGCACGCTATCTAGATGGTGTTCCCACTCCACCCATTCACCGGGACATTATCCCCCACGCCACGCTCTGCCAGGGGGCCGTTGTGATACACACAGCCAGACAGTCTCCAGACATTTCCAAGGAATCAAAGCTCAAGCCGCCCACCACCCTCTGCCACCTCCAGGGGATGATCTCCGTTCAGGGAGACCGACTCATAAACCCTTTAGAGGCTTACACCTTGTTGTGGCTTTATCCGGGAGTGTTTCTCAGCAGGGGAGCTGGGGAGGCAGCGAGGTGGAGGGCAGCATGGGCAGGAGGGTAAAAATGGATAAAGCATGCACTGCTGGGATGCAGAGGTGTGGAGCGGAATGTCTGCACGAGGCAGGAGTGAACCGCACAAATGGATAATTCCGTCATGAGAACCTACAGTCACGTTAGTCATACATGGCTGTATTTACAGAAAGGAATCACTAGTTTTGTGTTGTTGATGAAGCACTATGGAAAAAAGCGAGACAGCAATCAGATATAAATTAAAGAAGACCCCTTTCTGCACCTCTGAACTGAAGGCAATCTCTAGGCCAATCGTAACACAGACCCCAGTCATGTGATCAAAGGGAATGGATAAGAGTATTTTCAGCAATACAGTACCCTTTAATAAACACACAAATAGCTCCACTTCACCATGCTTCAGTTCAGCAGGGATTAAACTAGAGATGCACCGACTGCAATTTTCGTGGCCAATTCCGATTTCTTTTACAAATGTGACCTGGCAATACCGATGCACAAACAAAAATCAATTTTTCTTCAATGCAAAATTTTATTTTCATAATAAAAGAGATCTTTA